ATTACTCTCGCCCTGAAGGGTAGAGTGTACAATGCAGCGGTACGTTCGACCTTACTGTACGGTTGCGAAACCTGGCCCCTGAGATCGGCGGACATGAAGAGGCTACTTACGTTCGACCATCGGTGCCTTCGCAGTTTGGCTCACATCTGGTGGGAACACCGCGTGAGTAACGAGCGTGTTCGACGCCTTGTTTACGGCCTAGGAAAAGGGAATGAACCGCTCAGCACCGTCATTTCACTCACCAGGCTCCGATGGCTGGACCAAGTGTTACGCATGCCAGCCCACCGACTTCTGCGACGTGCGTTGTTTGCTCGCTGGGGATGTGGATGGAAGAAGAGGAGGGGTGGCCAAGCGATGACTTGGTCGAGAGGAATGAAGGCCCTCACTTCGGAGCTGGCCTCAGTTGGAGCTTCACGGCTCCCTGGTTGGAGTACAAAAGACGGTGAACACGTTTGGCTGGATACACTTGCTGATATGGCAAGGAGCCGACCTCAGTGGCGTTCCTGCTGTGAGTTTATTTGTCCCTCCCCATCCCTTTAGCCTCCCCTCCATCTACGATCTTATTTCGTAGGGTAAAACGTAATTAAATTTTTGTTTTTGCCTAGTAGCCGGCTAGTAGCTTACCGGAGCGATGCATATCCGTTGCTGGTAGCTCAGCTGGCATTCAACTGTCGTATTTATTTTTCCTTTATGCATTGTATGTATTTCCTTTATGTATTGCCGTACAATAGCGGAGGTGTTTTACCATCTCTAGCCGACATGTATAATGATGATGATGATGATGCTTCATTTCCTGTTCCGTCAACGAGGCGTCAAACACGCTCGTCGCTCACTCGGTGTTCCCACCAGATGTGAGGCAAATTGCAAAGACACCCGTGATCGAACGTAACTAGCCTTTTTTTATCCACTGATCTAAAGGGCCAGATTTCACAACCGTACAGTAGGATCGAACGAACCTCTGCACTGTACACTCTACCCTTCAGGGCGAGAGTGATCTCGCGCCGGAGCCATAAATGACGAAGGTTAGCAAAAGCGCCTCGCACTTTTGCTATACGGTTCGTGATCTCATCTTCAATACAACTTGCGCTGATACAACTTCCCAGATAGTTGTTTTTTGAACGACTTCTAGCTGATCCTCACCAAGGGTCAGCGCAGGAAGTGATCCCTGCCAATCTTGGAGGAATGCTTTGCACTTCGATGATGCAAAGCAAAGCCCTGATCGGCTGACAGCCAGTGCTAATATGTCCAATGCCGCTTAGCATGTTTGTGAGCTGTCACAGATGAGGGCAATGTCGTCTGCATACTCCAAGTCAAGAAGTAGTTCTCCTTGGAGCAGATCCACGCCTTCCAAGTCATGTCCTATGATCGCGATTTCCATGACTTCGTCGATAGCGAAGTTGAAGAGGAATGGTGACAGCGTGCATTCTTGCCTTGCACCGCTGGAGGTTTTGAAGGGCGACGACAGCCTTCCGTAAGCCCTCACTCTGCCCATGCTGTGCGCGTACAATGCTCGGATCATATTTACATATTTCACGGGCACGCTTTTCCTGATTAAACAGTCCCAAAGAGCACACCGATCCAACGAGTCGAATGCACCTTTGATATCGAGAAACACGACAATTGTGGGCTGCCAATATATGTGACGGTGCTCCAACAACGGACGTGAAGTGAAGATGTGGTCGATGCAGCCACGACCCCAAGGAAACCCGGCTTCCTCTTCACGAATCTGGCTTTCACGAGCGCCAGTCAGTCTGTGAAGGATGATAGAGGCAATCAATTGGCATGCGACGGGGATTAAACTGCTTCCTTTATGGTTCCTTCTCACCGATTGTTAACCTACCTTTAAAACTTTGACTATAATGGAGCGTCTCCAGTCGCTTGGGAGAGCTTCCTGCCCCCACAGTTTAAATAGTAACTCTTATAAATCATATACATGGGCAAATCCCCCTAATTTAATGAGGGCTGATGGAAGATACTGTAGTCCCGCAGCTTTATTTAGCCTCAGCTGTGCGACCTCACATTCGGCTTCTGGGCGAAAGGGCGGGTCTAAAGGGACAGCCCGCGGAGCAGGGCGATCACTGGCCGGTGAGAAACCTGACAATTCCGATCGTTTGAATTGACTTTCAAAGTCTGAGCCAAAAGCACCAAGCGTTTTGACAAATTGTGGATAAGCTGTCTACTCTGGTTACGTATAGTTTCACTAACACCAAGTCTCCTGCTGCCCGTTTTCCAAATCAAACGGAATAACTTACGATGTTTACCAAAGGCAGCAGCCATTTTCATTGATGCACGATGAGACCACCAGTATTCGCTGTCTCTCTTCAGGCTAGCGCGGAGTTTTGCTTAGAACTATTTGCGAGTTTCATTGTGTTCGCTTCTAGCCGAAATATGCCGTCGAGCATCGATAATTTCTAGAGACTGTCAAGAGACCCAATGTTCATGTTGGGGATTAGACTTACCACATGGGGAATTTCCTGTTGTTAGTAAGTTCTGGAGAGTATAAGACCAGTGGGCTTCAATTGCATCCAGCGAACACTTACTCAACTCGCAAGACAGGGTACTTTGATAGGCGTTCAGAACAGCTGGCTTCGCCAGTTGGCTGTTGTCAATGCACTAACAGTGTCGTCGCGGGCCTCCACCAAAACGCATCCGTAAGTCAAAACATACAAGTATAGTTGTTAACCACGTGTTGTGGCAATGTCAATTTTACATTGGTCAAGTGTTGTCTAATATTAATAGTATAGTTTCACTTCTGCCTACATCTATATAAAATGTTCCAAAAACTGCAGTTAAGCTGCTGCGATGTCTGCGCGTCGCCACCGATTCACACAACGCGTGCTTCAAAATGATCCTTCAAAACTGAGTTTTGGGATTCTTACTTGCTAATACTTGATTATCCGCATAGGCTCACTCACACACATGGAATCCACAGAGGCCGATGGAGAGTGTGCGGCAAAATTATACACGCCGCTTTTAGTCAAGAGCTTACACAATCGCCCACTGCATTAAAATGACTGCAATGTGACCTGAATATCTTCCAGCTGCCTTACTTCTCATTTCTTGTTAACACGTCTCTGATCTGCTGTTTAGATAGTAATGTGTCCAATTTAATCTCCAAATTATCAAATTTGGTTTGCTGAACTTCCAATCTGGTCTAACTACATCCAATTGAAATTGAAGATTGTATTTAAAACGGTCGCGTCGCAGTGAAGCGAAATCAGGAATCACCGGCGTACGGCTGGTGCTTTTTTCTTCGTTAACAACCTGGTCCGTCTCGTCCTTATCGATTGAGTACTGAGTGGCCCATTATGTTTGAGATTCGTGATACTGCAGGATTAATATTACATCCGACACCCGAAGCCATATTTGTCACCGTCCTAAGGTCTACTAGTCTGTGGTATCGAGTTTCTTGATGGTGCGGCGATGATGGTGATAATGACGCGACGAATCGTTGAACGCCCCTTATTTCCACATTACAAGCAAACCTCCACAAGTTAACCACTCGAATGACTGGACCAAAATGGACAACATGCACAGATGGTCAACATGCTGTGGTTTTGATTCCTAAGCTTTACATAGTGAATGTTTAAGAGATGAAAAGTAGGCGTTCAACGTAGTTGTGCTCAGGAAATAGAGGCTGTCAACGTCAGTATTTATAGTGTATATTTTATGCAATAAAAGTGAGATGTTTGGGATGGAACGCTCTTAGCAGGGTGGTCGTTTCGTGTTGATTGTTTGTTTAAAGTGAATAGTTACTAAAATACTTTCGTAATCGTCTCTTCTCATTTATAAATACTAGATTGTTCCCACTAATTTCATGTCGAGTCAAGTCAACAATACGTTTTATGCCCCCACGTGGAGTGAATATTTAGCACACAAGCCAAATGACATTAAAGAGAAATATAACAAATGAATATTGTGTGCCACCAAGTTGAAAAAGTTGCAGAGTTGATAGCATCGATGCAGTTTGGCAGTCAGTTCATGTTTGACCACATATTGATCCCCCAGGAAAAATGGGTTTATGTTTGCAAAATCTAACTCAAGTACAAGCAATCCAGTTGTATTCACTGATGATGTTAACAATTAATATGTCGAAGTGTTGGATGATTTACCTGAGAATGCTTAATTTAGACTCATTCAGACAGCCGGAAAAGCATGAACGCGCGTTTTATCCTTTCGGGAATAGTCAGCAGTGCGCATTCCATCGGACTCTGGTAGGGCTCGAACCCGCAACTTGACTGTTGCCAGTCCGTGGTTGAGATCACTGCGCTAAGGGGGACGGCAACGACCATCGTAAATGTTACTAGATGTGATATAGCGCCGCTCACTCTCCACTGACTTACACGTTACCGTCATGCAGAGGACAGGGTCGCCCCCACACCAAGCGACTAGCTTACCAACCTTAAGCCCCCAATTAACCTATGGCATTATAGACAGTTTGGTTTGTGTACTGATTTCAGAAGAGTAGTAAGTGGAGTTGAATGGTATAGGTAGAAATTCGTCACATCTAGACTCACTCTGTAACGTGTAAGTCAGTGAATAGTGAGCGGCGCTGTATCACATCTAGTAACTTATTTACTATGGTCATTGCCGTCTCCCGTAGCTCAGTGGTCTCAATCACTGACTGACAACAGTCGAGTTGCGGGTTCGAGGCCTACCAGTGTCTGATGGAATGCAGAATTCTGACGATTCCTGGAAGGATGAAACGCGCGTACAGTGCTATTCCGGGCTTGTGGTGGCTCTCTGTGTGAGTCTAGATGTGATCAATTTCTACCTATACCATTCAACTCCCCCTACTCCCCTTCTGTAACCCTTGATTTCCCATCCAAAACAAATTTGCCATTTATTTGCAAAATCGTTTGACTACTTGGAATTCATCAGTACACATAGACAGCACCTTCGAGTTCGGTTACCATGGCAAATTCGGCAAAATATCCTATCGCTACTTATTATCTTTCCATTGCTGGCCATCTTTTATGTAAACATTTTATTTCTTCTATAGGGGGCTACGCTAGGCTGAGGATACTGATGTGTTCAAAGCTGATTGAGTCTACTAAGGTGTCGATCTCACAGTGAAGTGAGCATCGTTTTCGGAAGGACTTATCTACTATCAGACCTGTCAAAATAAATTCCTGCGTAACGCATTTTCGTATTCAGTCACAGCTTGACAAATGCAGAAGGAACATCATTCTTCTAGGAAGAAGCATCACCCTGAAGCGAAATCTCCGAGGAACGTACGTAAGTCCTCACCTACAAAGCGGACAGAACGACATGAAGAAGCGTTAGAAAGCTACAAAGTCAAACGTCCGCCCAATTTTGAAGCTGGGGATCAGGCTGCTTTGGGAGAAGTTCATGCATCAAGCAAGGCATCAGATCGACTAAGAGTAAGGGACGAACTTTTAGCGAAACACCGCAGTAAAGGGCACCGAACCTCGCACACCAGCGAAGATGCAAGTAAAGGCAGTAAAGACGTTTCCTCGTTCAGAAAACGACGAGTAGATAGGGAAGAACTTCGAAAGAAGAATGTGGATGACTTACCAAAGCAAGCAGAACACACTAATTTGGCATCATACGTGGAAGAACACAAACGGAAAAAGGATTCAAATAAGCATCTTTCCAACGGGTCCAACTCTATCATGGCTGTTGAATCGTATTACTCATCCTCTGAACATGTCCGCACTCTTGGTAGACAAGCAAAACCTCTCCCTTCCCATGTTAACCAGAAACCCTCCAAGGCAGCAAATCCCACAGGAGAAAGGCAGCTGGAAAGGAATCTTGCGCAGCGGAATTCTGGTGTTAAGCATTTCAACAACATCTCCAAATCAAGTCAACCGGAAGAACAGAACCGGTCTTCCATTAAAATCCTGGTCCAATCACAGTCCAACCTAGAGAGTGAGGACGAGCAGTACGGTAGTGATTTTGAACAATCTGATCTCAGCACAGGTCACTCACTTGCCTCTGCCGAAATGGAGGACGAGAAATCTGGTGACTCTCAACCTAGCTCCCCTGCACGAAACGCGACTCATGGTACAATGTCTGTAGTGACCAGCACTAATAAAACTTGTGGTGCTGGGGCTGCAATGTCCAACATATCCCTAAATAATTCCAGTGATGTTCACACGATTGACTTCAGCCGATCTCTACGAGTTGGTGTACACCAGCTTAGACAGCGGCTGGAGCAGCGAGCCAAGGATTTGTTTCGGTTGATTGAGCTGGACTTTGCCGGTACCGGTCACATATTTGAGCTGAAACCGGTGGATGAATACGCAAACTACATGCTTCGATTTGGTAGAGCAAACAGGAACCAAGTCCATGTTCAGACGAATGACGATGCCCTTGAACGTGAAATACAAACAGACCCTATAGAAGTATGCAAGCACGGTGGTGTGTGGACACAGTGGCCGGTCTTCGGTACAGAAGAGTGCTCCGGGCACAAGACTATTGCAGGTATGCTGATGCATTAATTTCCACTTTGATGTCGGGAATAATTATTATGATCTCCTTTGATGTGCCATTCAGTTCGCAGTAATTTAATCACTTTAGATTATCTTCCGTTTTTAAAAAAATGGTTTCAAAAGTTATTTGCGCAAGTTTGGTTTTACTAAAAATGTATATGCTCGGTGGCGACTCCATGAGAATATTCGAATAAAGAATTGAAACAGAAGCCAAGGACTGGATTCTAACATTTTAGTAACAGGCCAAGTAGCTTTCGCAACGACAGGGTTTAGCGATTTTTAATCTAAACAATTTAATACATTATCTCAGCCCAGACGTAACATGTTTAATCGAAATAAAAGCCATGTGAATTGACATAATTTTCTCAACGGAAACAGGTTTATTGCTGGCGTCCGAATAAAAGGCCGGTGTTCTTGTAGTGAGGAAATCGTCGAAGGCCGTTTAAGCATCTTCTTGGGTAGTAAAACAATCCTCTCACAGGAAGTTTTCCAGGTGCTGGAAAAAGCGGTGATCGGTAGGATAGAGATCAAAGGAATATGATGCGTGAGGCAGTGTTTCGTAGCCATCTCGGAACATTCTGCAGGATTGGTTGGGCGACGTACGGCTGAGCGTTATCCTAAAGCAGAATTGGCCCCTTTCTATTGACCAAGTATTGAAGTTTTCGGTGCATTTCGGCAATTTGCTGACAATACATTTCCTCTGTAATGCTCTCGCCTAGATTCAAGAACTTGTGATGGAGAAGGCCAAACGCAGACCACAAAACAGTTACCATGACCTTTATTGGGTGTACTGTCGTATTGGAAACTGCTATGGCGCTTAATCCTGGTCAAATTATTAAGCAGTTAATAGCCTATTGCTGTGAAGTATTCACTTTACATTCCACATCACAAGCCGGTAAAGGAACAGGTGGTCTTATTGTGTAAAAAAAGGGCAGATGACACTTCAAATGACGATCAAATTGTTTTCAGTCAATTCGCGGGGTATCCAATTATCGGACATTTTTGACATTCCAATCTTCCGTAAATGATTGTAAGCTATCACATGCGATACTGCTAAGTCAGACACAAGGTATCGAAGCGTTCTAAGCGGATCCACTTAAACTAAGGTATTTAATTGATCGACATTTACTTCCGATGCCTGTCCACAACCATCTCCATTTTCAGGCATGTCGTAAAGTTTTCGAAAATTTTTTAAACCATCATTCTACAGCACGGTCATTATTGGTTCCAAGACCAAATGCACTCTTGATGACACAAGCAGTTTCCGCTGCATTTCGACCAAGTTTAAAACGAATCACGAATTTGTCTTCCATCCGTGTTGCATCAAATGTTCTGTAACAGTGTAAAAATGTGTTTTTGGCTGAACTATAAATAATGCTAGACAGGGAGAAGAACGTGCTGCAAAATGATGCATCGCATTCAGGAAATGTATTAAAATTATGATCAAAATTAAAGCTGGCGAAATTAACATTTAAAAACTGAAAATTTACTTATGAATAAAAGGATTTTGGTGAGTATTTTTGTTCGTCGCAATCAGCCGACAATTCAGATATGTCGACCAGCTTTCCGGAAAAGCACCAGAAGTCCGTTTCGCCCTATTGGGGCTCATCAGTGGTGCGCATCCTTCGGTCCTCTGCGGAGGATCGAACCCATGACTGCTAGTGGCTCTTGCCAAATAGCCGAAAATACTCACCAAAATCCTTCCATTCATAAGTAATACCAATTCGCCCGTACGGATTCCACAAAATGCTATGTCGATTCATAGCTGCCGTAACCGGGAAGTCCTGACGCCGGAAGGCCGACAGCTGTCATCTGCATGGCAGTGGAGGATGCGTCGGGCTACATCGCATTTAGCTAACAATTCACGATAGTCAGATACCGTCCTCCATGGCGCAGTTGCATAAGCTGCGGGCTAGTTGGCAAGAGCCACTAGCAGTCATGGGTTCGATCCTCCGCAGAGGACCAAAGGATGCGCACCACTGATGAGCCCCAATAGGGCGAAACGGCCGTCTGGTGCTTTTCCGGACAGCTGGTCGACATATCTGAATTGTCGGCTGATTGCGACGAACAACTGAAAATTTGTTATCAGGCTGATAGTTACGTAGTTGTGGGTCTATATTTTATTACATTGAAATGGTTTCTATTACGTGGACCAACATCCTTCTTAAGTTCAACGAGTAAGTTCGAAAGTATGCCGTCGTAGCCAACCGAGGTTACAGGTGTCAACGAGCTCCTGAAACATTTCTGGTAAATGGGGTTGTGCATTCGCCTTACGGCAGCCCGGCGGGATTAGTAGGCTCCCTTACGTCTAGTTTCAATAGGCCACGGAGTTCGGATTGTTCATGGAATGAGATATGCAAGCATTTCTTCTGACCTCTTTCAAGTACATGCTGCGAACTCAGAATACTGTCCTAATTTTGTGGTTCTCCGAAGAAACGGTTCCATAAATACCATCCCAACACAATCGTGATTGCGTGGTCGAGAGAGCCCGCTTACTTCCATACCTAGTTACTGGAATGTAAATCAACGTCTGTAGCTAAATGTTAAACTGATTCAACAGGTTGATGTAGGTAGTGAAGTTATCGCAAACAGTGACCTTGTCACATATATGCCGCGTACATTCCTTGGGAGTTGTGATGTGATATCCGATAGACCCCAGGTGCAACTTCAGCAAGCAGGAAATTTGCAACAAAGAGTCCGAATGTTAAATACGTCAAAAATCTGGCTGTGTTTCACCATATTTTCTATCGAAACAGCTTTAGTACATCAAAACACTATTCATCAAATATTTTCTTCATTCTTTAGCCCCCATATTACGAAATGGATATCAAACTGGAACGAAGTACTCCCGACAAGTTCCACTTCTGAACGATTCAAAATGTAAAGGGATTTATTGCACCCTACGAAGCAGTTTTTAGCTAGTCACTTCATCCAGTAATACGCAAGCTGCAGATAACGGAGCGAAATAAGCACTGGGCAGATAGAAAATGGGTGTTGCTCGACCGAAAACACTGCAATACTATGACGCCTTTTGAAGTTATTTCCTCTTACCAGATAGAGATAGCAGGCATTGAACCCGAGACCATTGGGATGTTGTAATTGTAATGTTTTCCTCCACGCTGCTCACAAGTTACATAGCACGGCTTAGGCCGGGAAAGCACCAGACGCGTTTCGCCATATTGTGGCTCGTCAGTGGTGCGCATTCCCTCGGTTCCCTACGGGGGAGCGAACCCATGACCGCTAGAGGCAGATGCCAACTAGGCAGCAGCTTAAGCCACTGAGCCATGAGGGGAATCGGCTGGGCTACACAATTTGCAAGCCAACTGGGATATAGCACCACCTATCTTCCACTGCCACGCTGGTTACTACCTTAGCAGATGACAATGGCTTTCCTCCGAAGGTCATGACTTCCACTGTATTTTAGGTTACTAATGAGTAGGAGGATTTTTTTATTCCTAATTGCAATGTTTTCAATCTCAATGTTGACCGCGATACCCACTAAAGTGAACCTTGGCCTTTCCATAAGGAGGACCGTAGCTGAAGCAGCAAGAAATTGCATGTTGCCTGCCCGAAAACACTGCACTCCTATGACGCATGTCGATGTTATTATAACATCTCATCAGATAGAGATAGCAGGCTGTTAGTTGTAACAGCTACCCTTAAACCATTGGGTCACAACTAACATCCCAATGGTCCTGGGTTCGATGCCTGCTATCTATCTGATGAGATGTTATAATAACATCGACACGCGTCATAGGAGTGCAGTGTTTTCGGGCAGGCAACATGCAATTTCTATCTGCTTTAGCCACGGTTCTCGTGATCGAAAGACCAAGGTTCACTTCAATGGAGAATCGCTGTCAACATTGAGATGGCGTGTAGCAATCCATCCACACAACGTGTACTTCAAAATATGACCCTGGAGCACTGCGTAGTTGTGGTTTATCATTCAACACAGAATAACATTCCATTTATAAGGTATCGCCTGATACCTTGCGTGCATGTTGATGCGGTTCCGAATTTACCACTCTTAGTGAGCTGCTTCGGATAGACGCTATAGCTCGGTTATTGATCATTGGCTTGCTCTTGAAGCCTAATCTAAACGGCTGAATGAATAGACATATAAACGTGTGATAACGCAAATGCAAATATAGCTGATATTCGGTAATGCTCTGTCCGGTGGGGAAAATGGTTCCTTTGATTATTCTTCGCTAAAAACAGGAGCATGGGATGCATTTGCATACATTTTGCCATTCCTGGCTTTTGCCATTAAACGTAGAAATCTATCAACTTTTCCGTACATGGTAGAAGTCACGCTAGCTAGTTCCAGTCCACTACAAATAAAGTGGTTTCATTCTCTGTTTTCCATAAAGCATCAGTTTTAAGTCTAGGCCTCCTCGTCGTTGAACCACTTGCGAGTACCCACCGCTTTCATCATCGAAACGGTAGCCACAGAACATCTTGGTAGCTCGCATTTCGAATGTGAACTCAAATACCTTCTGTTTTAAGTTGTTTTAAGTTGTAATCATCGAACGAACCGTTGCCTCCACTAAAGGAAACTCAGCTTATTGGCGTCAACTTCCACTCGTATATCAATTCGTATGTAACTGCGGGGATAGATACATAGGCAGAACCAAAAGAACACTGAGTTCCCGAATTAAGGAGCATGTACCAAAATGGGTTCAGTGCGGACTTATTCAGCAAGCAAACCCAACTCAGACTACATGTGTACGCAGGCCTCCAGCATCTTCGATCGGCAGACACTTATTGACGTCGGGTCACCGAATTGAGGTCAACAAGGCGTTTCCAATCCTGCTTCGCCATACTAATTCTCGACTCCTCCGGTTTGCCGAGACTATTGCCATTAATCATATTAAACCAGTGCTTTGTGTTCAAAAACCATTGTCCGTCAGCCTCAGGCTGCCCTGGTTGTAGAACAAAGACCCCTTATTTTCTCTCCTTTGTTTGTATGTATGTCTGTACTCACAAACTGTTATATAAAATTGCCGGTTATCGTTATCGACACTGATGAGACGATACGAAATGCATGCATCTGCCGAGCTTCGTCTTCTAATTGCGCTTTTCAAGTTACTAAAGGGAACTAACTGTTTTAAACCTTCTGTTTTACTCTAGGGTAACCAGACATCATATAGTGTCCTTAATCCGGTCCCGATGCCATAGTATTCTTAAACCTATGTTTTAATTAACAGAAACAATACCTATCCTACATTTAGAACTAGCGTAGGACAAAATCGATTACATTGCGCGAGCAGAATGCTTTAACAGTTGCAAAAGCTTAAGACAAATGTTATCAGAGCTGAAGTGTTTTCAAAAGGTATACATACTTAGGAATTGTTTCTGAAGGTAATATCTGCATGCTCTGTGCCCAGATGAGAAGTTTTATCCTGAAGCTGAACGTACACTATTGGAAGAAGAGTATGACCCCATCGCCAAAGTTATTTCAGAAGTTGTCCAAGAATTTACTTCACGTCTGATGGCACCAATCGAAGCTAGACCAACGAGCGTTATTCGCGAACAACAGAAGGCGTTCATCCCATTATCCACGAAGCTGTTGCCGACCCTTCGTTATGCCATGAATATTCTCGAAGAAGAAGATCGCCTGAACTCAGAGTTGCTCGTATCCAGCATAAAAAACAAGTTACTACAAGACCAACCTGCGTCGTCTACACTTCAGCTGGAATCAGGCTCATTGGATGAACGCCGCTGTGTGGCATGTGCGTTTTCATCAACGGGCGGAGACAGACTTTTAACCATTCACAGACCCAAGAAAGTGGGTGTTCCGTCCGAATTTCGTAGCCTGATGCCTAGCGTTTTGTTATGTAAAATAGCCATAAATAGTACATGCACAAATTGCGTCATGTAATGATCGAAACGTCAGTTTTATTGCTAACTAATATTCGAAGCCAGCAGTATGGGTGATGTCCCAGTTGAGGCATAAGAGAAGAGGTATTCTGAAGCTACAGGTAAACAAACAGGTTATGTACAGCAGCATAACAATTGTAACTCTTTAGCAAATGCCTGGTGTACGTGCTTCATCCAATGTCACGTTACTCGTCTTTTAGCTGGCAAGACTCTCCTACTTGCTCCATATTTTAGCAATGTCAATTGGCCCCACCGGATGATTTGCCCGGCTTACTCCGACTGGCTGGTGAAACAATTTGCGTCTGGTCAATAGCAACGGGACTGTGGAAACCGGAGTACATGCTGTATTGTCCGGGTATGTCAGAGGCTGGACTCAAAGGGGCCAATATTAGCTGTGCCGTCTTCAGTCCCGATTCGGATGCAAGTATGGTGAGTTGACTACGTTCGATTTATGGACCTCAACTGCGTGAATCGGGAAGAAATGGCTTTCGGTAATGAAATTGTCTATTGGATCTGAACCACGACTTTTGTCAGAATAATCGTGTGGAATCCCTATGCATCTGTTAGTATATATCGATTTAGTCTGTTTTTACCGTCTTATGCTGTAGGTTTGATGACACAACTCTTCCAAGGTGCAATTTTAAGCGATAAAAATACTAGCGCATATACCTTTAGTAAATGTATGTGCGAGCCTCTTCATACTGCGCAGTCAGGTTCTGTGCAGGAGAGTCGATTAAATCAACGTCTACTCGTTCCCCAGAGGGTTCCATTTGATGCAGCTCATGATTTTTTAGTAATTTCCCTTGTTCTGCTGTCACAACTCATGCGTGGCAGCAGAAATGTTATAAACGTTTCAGCGGTGCAATTGAAGGTGGTTTTATTAAACTCCGCAGCAAGTATTAGCCATTTAAGCTCGGAAAGACCTTATGATTTAATCCTTTACGGCGATTAGGTCACTGTGCCGTTTCTGTTAGATATTCGTATCTGCAGGCAGAGTACTTAAACGTCGTCTTGTCGGAATGTAACTCAAGGGGATTAGACGATTGTAGGGTAAGAAACGTCAAGGGAACTGACAGGCTTGTGTTCTGGACAAAATGAACAGTTCGGATTTTAAATCGGCTGCAAATTTGTATTAACTGACCTCTCTAGTTTCCATGATAGTATATGAGGTGCTAAGAACAGCCATACCGTTGGGTCATTTGTTAGGTTTTTAGACGGGATTATCATCGTTGGTAAATGACTTGATAGAGTAAAACACCTGGAAGGAGTATCGTTTACCATTTGTCTGCGAGAATTCATTTAACCGATGTTCCATGTTCAGACAAAAGACATCTATTTGCTAATATTCAGTGATATGGGTGGCACAGTTAGCCTTGGAACGAGCTGTTTATAGATCCTTCTGAATACTTAAGATGAGGCCAACACCCCAGCACTGCATTGATAGTTTGTCCGATTGCAATGCTTTCTTAAGAACTCAAACCAACTATTTTACAGTGCTTGTACTTTAGTTATTTCTGCTGATTTCTATTAAGAGGATGAACCAGTCATCTCTTTGTGTATAACAATTTGTAAAGTTGCAGCCTACGTAAATCAGCATATCCCTCTCAGTCAGTGGTTGTGGGAACAGATGGAGCAACGCATGTATAAAACAGAACATATGTTAATAGATTAGCAGCAAACGTACTATTTGAGTACATCGCATGACACTGATCCTGTTTGTGAGACGTATCATAAGGAGTGAACCTTGGCTCACTTAGATCACATGGGAAACCAATGTAACTGACCACAGATGTGGTCCCATGGTTTACTCCGCATGGTACCTCCTATAAATAGTATTAACACATTGGTTTCACCTGTCGTAGCAAACTCCGGTACGCTTGCATGTATAAAGGTCCCTTTCGTGTTTAATCACACTTCTCACAACATTTGTCATCACAACGATGAGTTGTAGGTCATAGTTCTATACCATGGTTACCCAATGTATTTCATTTAGAATAATGGAAGAACAGTATGGAGGATTCCATCTGCTGATGGGAGAGTTTTCACTCGGGAAAATCTACGCCCAAACGTTTAGTAAACAATTTCTCCAGCAAGGTATATGGATAAAACTCAGTTTACTAGATCACTGTCGCCTAATGAGCCATGCGCTTTCACATCAAACCTGGTTTTAGACAAATATCCTTTGTTTATTCGCCTTAATCCATTTGTGACCATATTCTACAAAGATAACGCAAGTATTACATGACTTCATATGCCGCTTTTCGATATATATGTGAAAACGATCCCTTACCGCCAGAATCATCGGTGTTCATGGAGGTTTGTTAGTATCTTGGCAGATCATCGAGTTGATGGGTACGAAATAATGAGGGTGGTTTATGATGGTCCCATTTGTGGATTGTGCTGTACACACTGTCAAATTCAGCCTCCCAAGTGGTTGAGACCTCGTGATTTTCCTGCAGGCAGCTTTCTTACGCCTTAGTATTTTTATCACAAATGCTGCAAGATAGCTGAATAACGAAAGCTACTTGGTTTGTGTGTAATAAACTGATGCGAAGGAGCTGTTCGAAATCCTTGCACAGTGGTCACATGCCGTCAATCACATGGGGCCATTGGTGTCGGGCGCCTCCATGGGTAGTGTTCTGGTTGATATAGTGCAGTTCGGTTGTGCTATGGTTACCTTAAACCTTATCTTTTACTCCTGGTTATGATCGCCTAAGCTGGTTAGGTTCAACATGAACACCAATGACGATGATTGTCTTGATATTTCGGTTCACTAAACTAAGTTGCTTTGTTTAGGAAAATGTGGTCTGTTTGTCCACGGAGGGCATAACTGCCCTTTCTAATACTTCACGTGGTAACCTGGCCTAGGTTCGAATTTCGTGAATATCGATCAGTGGAAGGAACTAAAACTTGGTAACCTACCCGTGTTCCAAATTGAGCGAACCATTACAATTGGTATTCTCAAACAGTTTAATTACTGTAACCACTCAGTCTGTTCGAGACCAATGCTGGGATTTGTACACCGACATTATGCATACAGCAGTGCATCGCTGGTGTAAATGCGCCTTGCACCACACTGCGCCCTCTTAATTGGCATGCATGTCATTGCTTTTTGCTTGCGTTCTACTGTCCCGAAATGGTACAAGAAGTTACTTTTCGGCATCGTTACAGTACGGATGCCCAGTCCACCTGAAAAGCTGACCCACTGAAGGAGGTCTCAGCTAACGAAGTGGCCAATGCCACCACAATCGTTCCAAACACCTGGTCCAATGGAATGTGGTTGGTATGCCCTGCAGGATTGCTAGCGAAAAAATACAACTACCATGTTAAAAATGATTCCGTACCGGAGTGGGAGTGAACCACTCGGTAACATGAATTTATCCGTTTTCGCTTTGCACCCGATTACTCCTTACGCCGAATTCAATAAGAAGTCAGACTTATTAAATCCAGTTTACTTCCTACATTTGGGATATTAAAATCTGACGTTAGTCGTTCGATAGGTGGGGCCAATATTTACTCCATCGAATGCAATAATAACAGGTATGTTCGCAACCAATTAAGTCGGCAATTGTTTGACAACCAGGTGCTTAACTTTACCACTAGCATCGCTTACAATATCTTTTAATCAAGTCCCTTTGTTTGCAAATAGGTATGTTAGTATCGCTTGTTTGTCGAAAATCCTGGATTGAAATACTGTACGGTGTATTTAGAAATACAGTCCCATTATATCCAGTGATATAGTGCAAAAAACCGCAGCAAGCATTGATACATGTTGGTATATGTTTAGGTGCACAGAAAGTTGAACACATAAATCTTTTGCAAAATTCTGTTCTCTACCACATTCACATTTGCCAAGAGGATACTAATTAAATAGCAGCGTCGTGGTTACGTCCAGCGAAACTTCGCCAGACGGGAACGACCATATCCCGGTCATCTGTTCCCAGCGCAAATATTCTCCTGTCTGCTGCCCTCATTTATTCTGTGTTTAAAACAATTATTTTATATTAATAATATTATTTTCCATCTCGGCTTTCCTAGGGGCTGCTGGTAATATTTTTCTTGAAATTTTGCCTACTAAACACTGCCTAAACGATGACCAATTCTTTCGGGCTATCATCTGATCCGAAGCCTTATTCTGAGAAAATCACTGATGATAGCACCGGTGAAGAAACGAAATATATTAGGCCTTGGGGAATAATGGTTAACATCTTTGCACACTCAGATGGAACACGTTTCGTTAGGTAGTAGCTACTACTAGGTAGTAGATAGTAGCTGCTACCTAAGGAAACTTGCTCAATCCTTGTGTGCAAAGAAGAAGTGGTCATCGTTTAGGCAGAGCGTTTAGGAAGCAAAATTCCAAGAATGGAGCAAAAATTAAGAGCAGCCCCTAGGAGGGTAGAGATGGAAAATAATGTTATTGGTATCAGATAATTATGTTAAGCCCAAAATGAGCAAGGGCAGCAAGCAGGAGAATATTTGCGCGGGGGAACACATGACCTAGGTATTTTCGTTTCCGTCTGGCGACCTTTCGTTGGACGTAACCGCGAAGCTACGTATTTTAATTGTATCCCTTTGACACAGGAGAATGTGGTAAAAACAAAATTCCTCAAAAGATTCGTTTGTTCAAGTTTCTGTACGTCTAAACATATACCAAAATGCATCAACGCTTGCTGCGGTCTCTTTTGCACTATATTACTGAATATAATGGGACTGTATCTTTAACTACACCGTACAGTATTCCAATCCAGGATTTTCGACAAACAAGCGATACCAACATACCTATTTGCAAACAAAGTGACTTGCTTGAAATATACTGTAAGCGATACTTGTGGTAAAGTTATGCTCTTGGTTCTAAATCTTTTGCAGACTTGTTGCACATGTTCGTCGCTTCTTAAACTTCAGTGACTGTCGGTTGGTTGAGTGTCAAAGAACTCACAGACTGTGCATAGTGCAGGACAATCGACTAAAAAACTGAAGCAATAAAGTATTGTACGCTTTAAAACACGTAAAACACCGACTAACATAGATGTTACTTTAAAGAAACTGATTTCGTTAAAGTAACATCTATGGCTGCTGACAGGTTTATGTCAAAGTACCGTGTTGTTATAAAGCAAAAAATGGAATGCTTGTGTTGATGTAGATTTTTGTATGGGGAGTACCGTACTCTAGTCTAGGGTTGCGGTCATTTTATCCAAATTAAAGCATATGAAGCATGTGAACGGAAAGAAGTAAAAAGGAAGGAGATATCCTGTACGAAATTGGTAGGAGCATCAATTGCATTCTGCCTTAATCTAATTATGGAGAAGTGATGCGAATGACTGAATATAAGGCATTGTTACTATGCATGTAGGATGAAAACCGTTAGACCGTCTAAATAATCTAAAGTTATAGATGCATTCTATGAATGATTAAGACAGAAAATTGTCAGA